CAAAACACAAGCAAAGTGTTGGTCAAGTTGTTAAACCTAAATAAAAAACTTATCGAATAAAATACATTAAAACTGAAGTATCACATTGATTAACATTGATATTAATATCATCCCAAGATAATATTTAAAGATAAAATGAAAGCTTTTCCATAAATTACCTATATGATCATTTAATTTTTTATAATTTTTTTAATATTTTAGAACTGAAATTAACATCTTATTGTGAATATAGCAAATAACTATTAAAAATTAAACTCGATCAAAACCATATTTGTAATATTCAATTGTAATCTTCAAAAAAAAATATGTTAATGTTAATCGAAATAAGATGTGAAAAAATTATTTCATAATCCTGAATAAAAGTAGCAATAACATCGAATTATTGATCATTTCCAATAAAAAAAAATATTTTGTTCATGAGTTTGTTGACGTTAAAGAGCAAATTTTTTTTTTCAAATAGAAATTCAATTATTCACATAAAATATCTATGAAATTTGTTAATTAGATTTTCCTTATCTAATAAAAGTTTTTTTTTTAAGTTTAAACAAGCATTTACTATTATTTTATTTATTTGAAAAGATATACGATTAATTAGACTTTTTAATCTATATTATTTGTCTGAATTAAGAATTGTTTCATGAATATATAAAGAAAAATATTTATTCTGTTTATTCACCTATCGAATATTAATATTAATGCACATTTAAAAACAGCAAGGCTGATAAGTATCTTTCGAAAGACTCATGTTGTTTTTGACCATCAATGTTAACATAACCTTTCCTCTTTTTCTATTCTTTATCTCTATTTCAGTTCAGGATACGCAGTGCAGGAGTTATTACTCAAATTGACGGAGAATGTATTGTTTTTATCCGCCGTTTCATTCAATCATCGTTCGTTTGCTAGAATGGTGAGTGCACGACATTCAAATTATCTTTACACATTCGAGATGAAAACACAAACGAATTGAACATGAAATCTTTAAAGACGACAAAGATATCGTGCACTCAAGATTCCATTGCTTGACAAACACCGGTTGTTATCATGCGCTGCGTATTATCATTCCTTGACGTCGTCTTTCATCGCGTCTTCCGTTTTCATACCTTTACTTTCTTCCGTTTCTACTTCTTGTCCTTCGTAACAGAAGAACAAAAATAGTTTTCTAACTAATGGAGCTTTTGAGGGTGGCTCTAAAACAAATGAACCTTCCCAGGGATATCCGACGTTCTGTTGGTGACCCGTGCAGGCGTGCAGATGGTAGGCCTTCACAACATACATCAATGTATGTATGAATAGAAGCGTCCATTTCGTCATCGTCTTTTCGAAGATGATGATCATGGTCGTACTAGTCATATATACATCGATGTATGTTTGCCTAACCATTACCGGCTTTGTCCACTGTACGAGCCAGCAGAGTACGGATGGTACTTCTGGTCGCGCGTGCGCGATATTGTGCACCTGCTTGCTTCGGCGAGCTTACATTTCAAGATGGTCAATTTATTTTCTTATTTAATGACGAAACCAAAAAAATTACATTTTCTTTTTTACAATTTCAATGTTGCTTTTCACGAGATCAATATGTGGATGTGTGGGAGGTAGTGAATTTTTCCAGATTTCTTGAGCTTTCGCGTAATATGAAAGCGCTTTCGAGTACTCGCTCATGTTATAATACACCAACCCGATGTTGTTGTAGGAAGCAGCCAAGTCGGGATGATTCGGAGGGAGAGCTATTTTACGGATTTCAAGTGATCGTTCAAACGATGAAAGTGCTTTCGAATACTTGCGCATGCTATTATACACCGAACCGATGTTGTTGTAAGAAGTAGCCAAGTTGGGATGATTCGGAGGGAGAGCTATCTTCTGCATT